AGAGGGTGAGGAAAGGCTATCTCCATATTGCCACGATTTCTAGATGTGGCAATAATGAGCCATATTACAATAAGATAGGAAAATGAAAGGCCTGACCTGGAACCAGTTAAGTGGAAGGAAAGCAGTTATTCATTAATAGGTTGAAATTATTGCCTTGGTTGTTGTTGTTGTTATGTGCTGTCGAGTTGGACTCGACTCATAGCAACCCCTCCTTGGGTTTCCGAGGCAGTACCACTACGGAAGTAGATTGCCCGATCTTCCTTCCGAGGGGTGGCTGGTGGGTTTGAACCGCCAGCCTTCTGGTTAGCAGTCAAGTGCCTTAGCCACTATGCTACCAGAGCTGCCTTGGAGATTACTATATTCATTAGGCATTGGCGAAAATAATTTACTAACCTCTTTTCATAGAGCAATGAAGAATTAGGATATGTTAATTATTTTTAAAGTGGCTACTATTTAAATATAAAAAGATTAGGAATTTTCAAAAATGTGGAAAATATTAAATACATTTAACAGTATAACTAGGAGTTCCTAGGTGGCACAAACTCTTTAGCACACAACTGCTAATCAAAAGGTAAGTTGTTCAAACCCATCCAGAAGCACCTCAAAAGAAAAGCCTGGTGGTTTTCTTCCAAAAGTTCATAGCCTTGAAAACTCTGAAGCACGGCTTTACTCTTCAATACATAACATCACCATTAGTCAAAAATCAAAGCAGCAGGAACTAGCTTAACAGGATAACTACAATTAATAAACTTTTGATGATAAGAGTTGTCCCTTCAGGACCTTGCCCTGCTTTGGAATTATAAAACCCACTTTTCTGGACTTTGTTCAAGTCCAGGGATTCTTTACCAGACCTAAGCACCTAGCAGTTTCTATGACACAAGCTCCATTCACTCTTTATGGGAAAGGTAGTTTACTTCTTTTGTAGAATTTCCCTGAGTGCTCTTTGCAATTTGAACATTTCCTAGGATTTAAGTTACTCTTTATTAGGGTCTCCAGAAGCCACAATCTCTCATGTCACCTATGATAAAACATTTTAAGAAAACATAACTTTTAGGAACTTGTTAAACATTAAAGAGTGATACAGGAACTGCACACACACACACACACGTACATTCAGTCTCTCACATATTTCTCTGTCTTATATAGATCCCATAGATCCCATATATATATTTTCATTCTCACCTGATCATGTTATCTACTTGCTTAAAACATTTTAATGACTTTCCACAGTACTCAGGAAGAAGTGCAGAATCTGAAACATGGTATACAAGACTGGTTCTCAAGCTTCTACATACACCATAATGATGTGGAATGCTTGTTAAAACACAGATTGCCATGCACCAGTCCTAAAATTTTCTATTCAGGGATTTTGGTATACAGTCCAAGACTTTGTATTTGCAACAGGCTCCCAGTTGATACTGGTGAAACCATTCTGGGGGGCTACACTTAGGGAAAAACTGGTATATAAGACTGTATATGACCTTGCCCCTTAGTTGTGCCTAGCTTTATCTCATGCCACTATTCTCTGAGTCTGGTGCTGAGTTTCTTCCTTTGGTTTCTCAATCTCCTAATTGTCTTTCCTGCCTCTTTCTATTTGTCCTATATCTCTCATGTATATCAAAACATGAAAAAAAAAAAAAAAAATCCAAGCTAGCTCCTGTTGGATCCTTCATATTAGGTTTGGTTCACTATGTTCTATTTGTCCCTATAATATCTCCTTCATAGAATTTAACCAAACTATAATTAAATAATTAAGTGTATAACCAATGGTTAATAAATACCCTTGCAGTAATGTAAGGAGCTCTGATGGTGCAGTGCCTAAAGAATTTGACTGCTAACCAGAAGGTTGGCTGATCAAAGGCATCAGCTGCTATTCAGAAAGAAGATGAGGAAATCTACTTCCGTAAAGATTCACTAGCTTTGAAACCCAGTGGGAATTGCTATAAGTTGGAATCAATTTGATAACAGTGGGTTTGATCTTCAGTTTTCACAGTGATGTAAGTTTATTGAGAGCAAGATCCATAACTGTCTCACTCATCAGAGTTCATACATGCCTAGAACAATATCTTCTTTCTTTAATTATGACAGAAGTTTTGGTGTAATAATGGTTAAGGCATTTGGTTGTTAAAGAAAAGATTGATGGTTCAAACACACCAGCTGCTCTGTAGAAGAAAGATGAGGCAGTGTGCTTCATTGTCTGGAGCAAAGAAGAGCCAAGAAATTCAAAGGAGTATGGAAACAGTTAGTCCAAATGTCTAATGGACCATGAGAACCTCAACCTATATGACCCTGAGACCAGAAGAACTAGATGGTGCCCAGCTACCAATGCCAACCAGTTGGAAAGGGATCAAAATTAGAGATCCTATATAGAGTGGGAGGAGCTCTGGTAGCATAGTGGCTAAAGCACTTGACTGCTAACCAGAAGGCCGGCGGTTCAAACCCACAAGCCACTCCTTGGAAGGAAGATTGGGCAATCCTACTTCCGTAGTGATACTGCCTCGGAAACCCAAGGAGGGGTCGCTATGAGTCAGGGCCGACTCGACATAACACATAACAACAACAACAGATATAGAGTGGGGGGGGAAATGTGGAACAAAATTCAAAATCATAAAAAAAAAAAAAACTAAGCTTGCTGATCTGACAGAGACTGGTGGTAAAACCTGCGAGACTATGGCCCCAAGTTACTCTTTGGGCCGGGAATTGAACTCATTCATGTGGCTTAACTCTCACCCAAACAATGAGAAAAGAAAATTAAAATTAAAATTAAAAATGGGAGCTCTTCTGGCAGCCAAACAATAAATAGGCTTAACTGCCGAACGCCTACACCAAGGAGATGCACTCTTTGGTACAATCAACTATGGGAGATCAGCAGGGCAACATTTGCACGTGGAAAAAAGTAGGGAGGCAGAAATGCATACACAAGGACTCAAGGAAAGGGTAACCACAGGAGGGAAGTGGAAGGTGAGCTGTTATACTGCAGAGAATATAACTAGTGTCACAAAATAAAATGTGTATGAACTGTTGAATGCAAAAGGAATCTGCTTTGTAAAGTTTCACCCAATCACAACAAAAAGTTAAAAAAAAAAAAAAAGATTTACAGTCTTGGAAACCCAGTGAGGGTCACTGAGTCAGAATCAACTCAATGGCAATGAGTTTGTTTTCTTTCTGGTTTTTAATTGTGATAAAATATGTTTAACAAAAACATTGCCATTTTTACCATATTAAGTGTAAAATTACTGACATCAGTTTTATTCAATCTGTTGTTCAACTATAAAACAATATCTTCTGTATAATAAGTGTTTAGTAAATATTTGTTAAAGAATGAATAAATAAATATAATATTACAGAGTTTTTACTGTGTTCATACAGTTATACTTGAATCACAGAAAATAATCCTACAATTTTAGGGTATCTGTGTGTGTAGTCCTCAAAACAGAGACTATATTCCAGGAGTTCCTGAATTCTTCTCCAAAAAACCTGCAGTTGTTCACAATAGTTCAGGTAATACCTCTTGCTCAGGGCAAAGAGGTCTATTACAGAGACACTGCCTGAAACAGCCTTTGGTATCTCAAGGTAAAGACCTCCAGGATGATATCAGATACTTATTTCAGTTTTATTATTTGGGATTACATAATGCTGTGAAATAAATTCCAAATGTTTGCATATTCTAATTGGAAGTCATTTAGTCTCTGACAGGATTTTAGTTATAATTATACAGAAACATTAGGTTTTCAAAATATTATTCATGAAAAACCTTAGTCATATATTCTTTGGGTAGCATAACAGAATTTTGTTAACTAAGGCTAATATTTCTTCTCTTAAAAGAGAATTGCCTTAAAAATTGAAGCTCTTAAATTAATTTGTCTAAAAAATTAACACATACTTATGAAGTACTAGATGATATTATAATGAATATTTAGGAGCTCTGGTAGCATAATGCCTAAAGGCATTTGACCGCTAACCAGAAGACTGGTGGTTCAAACCCACCAGCCACTCCTTGGAAGGAAGATGGGACAATCTACTTCTGGAGTGACACTGCCTCAGAAACCCAAGGAGGGGTCGCTACTAGTCGGGTCCAACTTGACAGCACACAACAACAACAAAAACATATATATATATACATATATATATAACTGTATAATATGTACATATTATATAATTATTTATATATTATATAATATATATATAGTTATAGATGTAGATATAAATATAGATATATAAATAGTTGTAATTTATAAACTTATTTTATATATGTAAAATAAGTATGTATGTGTGTGCATATATATGTGTATATATGTACATATACATACACACACACACACACACACATATATATATATATATGTACACACACACACACATATATATATATATGAAGGAGCTCTGGTGGTATAGTGGGTAAGGCATTTGGCTGCTAATCAGAAGGTCAGCAGTTGAAACTCACCAATGGGGAGGAAGATGAGACTATATACTTCCATAAAGATTTATAGCCTTAGGAACTCAATGGTCGTCACTATGAGTTGGAATCAACTCAATGGCAATGGGTTTATATATATCTCTCGATCCATGTGAGAGGGAGATTTGGTAGTATAAAGCTGTGTACATTCAGTGGGTGTCTTACCCACAACCTATATAATTGAGGTACAATCCTTAGAAAATGTGAAATATATAAGTTCCTGTTTGACTCTACAGAGAGAGATAAATTGGTGGAGAATGAATATTAGTTAAGCGATATGGGGAAAGATGTAATTTTGTGGGGTGATAAATCCATTCCACTTTCATATTCTTATGAATCTAGAAGATTTGAAATATCAAATACAAGGATAAAAAAGTTGTGAGTAAAAGTAGAGCCAGAAGAAAATCAGAGGAGATGAGAGGCAATATCTGGTATATTGATGTATGGCTTCCAGAAGGATCACAGGGGACCAAAAATATGGCCTGATGTTTTGTATTTCTTTACTATATGCCTTCTCCTGACTTAAAATTTCCTGTCTTGTTAGGTCTCATTGTCCGGGAAGTAAGCATTGAGATTTCACGCCAGCAAGTGGAAGAACTCTTTGGGCCTGAAGATTACTGGTGCCAGTGTGTGGCATGGAGCTCAGCAGGCACCACGAAGAGCCGGAAGGCCTATGTTCGCATTGCCTGTAAGTCCTAGCACACTGACACCTTGGGTTTTGGAATCTGATGGAGAATGAGAAAGTTTAGATTCTGACTGTTTTAGCATCAAAGAACCCTGGTCAAATATCCTGTTCAAAAATTGTTCCCAGATTTCAGCATTTGGGCCACACTGTCTTCTTAAGCCTCCAGAATATCATTTTCTTTTCTGCTTCAAGGCACTAATTAGTTTTTCTTTACGGACATGAAAGAATTAGCTCTACTTTCAAAAGAATCTGACTTTCATTTAATAGGCTATGGTGGCACAGTGCCTAAGGCATTTGCCTGCTAACCAGAAGGTTGGTGGTTCAAACCCACCAGCTGCTCCATGGAAGGAAGATGGGGCAATCTACTTCAGTAAAGACATACCACCTTGGAAACCCAGTGGGGGTCTCTATGAGTTGGAATCAACTCGATGGCAGTGAGTTAGGTTTTTTTTTTTTTTGGTTTATGGGAAAACCAAGTGTTTGCCTCAGTGAGTCTGTTCTGCCAGTTTAAGACACTATCTGCTAATTTTGCTACTGGAAATAGAAATTGCTGAGGCAAAGCTTCTCTATTTATTTTTGGAATTATTCTAGTGCATTGGTGAAACCAAACTAAATAGGAACTCTGGTGGAATGCTGCCCAAAGCATTTGACAGGTAATCATTCTTTTCCAAACTGTGTCGCTTTCTGAAATAATCATGTTCAGGGAGAGGTTAAACGGTGACTCACAAAATAGGTTTCCAGAATCAAATAAATGTGAGAAATACTTGTCTTGCCAAATTAAGGAAGTATCTTCATTGTGAAACTTTACAGATACTTTAATATGCTAATGTGTATACTAATCCCAAGAGGGAGATGTAGGCCTCAGCTCTTCCTGCAGAAGTCTTTTCTCAATAAATATTATCTGCATCTTCAGTAGTATAAGTGTTTCTATAACTCTCTATAAGGTTGCTTATTCAGAAATTTCCTCATATATGAGACCTCTTTAATTTGTGATATGGTTTGTTATCTGAGACCCCTAGTGTCTGCATTTTACTAAATTTAATTTTGTGATGGACAGCATCATCACTTATATCTAATCTGTCACTGTGTCCTGTCAATCCTACCTCTGATGCTTCTCCCAATTTTCTACTCACCTCTTCCTATCTCCCTAATTTTAGATTAGAACTATGACAAAATCTCCATGGCTGCTCCAGTCTTTTTCCTTTGCTACGCCTGCCTTCTTATTACCACAAGTGCAACTGTGGTAGTTAAGTTTAGTTTGTGTGTCAATTTGGTTGGGCCTGGTTAAGTGGCTGGGCAGCCAAAGGTAGTTATTTCCAATGATGAGACTGGCAATCAACTCCATGGTAGAATCTGCTGTGAGTAGCTAAGTAGCTGCTCTGGGGATGTGGTCTGCCTCCTGTATATAAGGAGAAGCTTTGGGATTGGTCTTTAGCTTTTTGGCACGTCTGAACACTGTATATAGCCAAGTCTTCATTCAGCAGCCTGTCATGCTCTGCTAATGTTGGGATTTTCAATGGACCTGAATTAATGGCCTGCCATGTAGTTTGGTAACATAGGGACTGTGCCTTTCTACTTGTTGACATTGGATTTGTCAGCCTCAGCAGCCAGTAGCTGCTTGAATGAAGAAAACCTCCAGCTTCAGTGGGCAGGGAGCAAGAGGGAGAGCTGAAGCCCAAGGTCAAGAGACTTTCACCCAGCTCCTAAACTCCAGCACTTTGAACTTGGACTTCTAGCCTCCAAAACTGTAAGAGAACAAACTCCTGTTTGTTCAAGCTACCCCATTCATGGTGTTCTCTATTAGAGCGGCCCTAGGTAACCAAACAGCAATCTTCCTACAACTCAGGTCTCATCTCACCTCTCCCACACTTAACATTTTAAAGTGGTTTTTGAGACAAAGTCAAATTCCTTAAGTTGTCATATAATGTGTCATGGTTTACATATCCAGTGTATGTTGCCAGCTCCAACCTCTAAGGATTTCTACACTCCAGTCACACTAGATTGGAAATGCTTTGATTTTCCTGCCTCCCAGCTATTGTTCCAGCTAAAGCATTTCTCCATCCTCTTACTATACTTCATCATTTTAAAAACTTCACTTATTCAACAAGTATTTAGTAAGGATTTACTCGTTTGAGGGGCTTTGGAGGTATCAGGGATGGAGCAAGTAAGTAACAAAACATATATGATCGTTGCCCTCATGGAGCTTACCATCTGGTGATCTGGTGAGGAAAGGCACACTCTAAATAAAAGAAGTAGTAATCAGGTGTAGAGAAGATGATAAGTGCTATTTAAAAATAAGGCAGGAAAGAGGGTTATGGAATGCTGAGTATGGCCATGGAAGGACTCAGGAACAGGTTAACAGTTAAGTAAACTGGAAGAAGCAGAGGAAGGGAGTAACACAAGGGGATAGTAAGTGGCACAAATACAAATGGTCTGAGGCAGGAGTGTTCTGGCAGGTTTCAGGCAGTGCCATGGGGCAGGGGGGAGGAATGGCTGGACCTAAGTGAGTGAGAGAACATTCCTAGATGAAGTGAGAGATAAGGCCTGGAGGTGAGGGTATGGGCGATTAAAGATGAGTAGTACCTTATAGGCCTTGTAGTATCTTTGGTTTTTAATATGAGGTAAGAACACTTTGGGAGCTCTGGTAGCACAGTATCTGTGGTAGTTATGTTTGTATGCCTACTTGGCTGGGCCTTGTTGAGTGGCTGGGCAGCTGATGGTAGTTATTCCCCATGATGAGACTGGAAATCATCTCCATGGTGGGTTCTACCACAAGCAGCTGAGTAGCTGCCTTTGGGATGTGATCTGCTTCCTATGTATAAGGAGAAGCCTTGGGGATAGTCTCTAGCTTATGGCATGCTTGGACCCTGCATGTAGCTGCATTGTTGTTCAGCAGCCTGCCATGCTCTGCCAACCTTGGGACTTACAGTGGACTTAAATTAATGGTCTGCCATGTGGTTTGGTAACATCAGGACTGTGCCTTTTTACTTGTCAACCTTGGGTTTGTCAGCCTCTGCAGCCAGCAGCTGTCTGAGTGAAGAAATACTTCTAGCTTCAATGGGCTGAGAGCAGGAGACAGAGCTGGACCCCAAGGTTGAGGGCTTTCACCCAGACCCTAGAGCCTGGCACTTTGAACTTAGACTTAAAGCCTCCAAAATGTAAGATAATAGACTCCTGTTTGTTAAGGCCATCCCATTTGTGGTATATATTTTTGTCAGAGATGCACTAGGCAACCAGGAAAGTGCCTAAGGCACTTGACTGCTAACCAGAAGGCTGGCAGTTCCAACTCACCAGCCACTTCTTGGGAGGAAGGTTGGGCAATCTAATTTTGTAGTGATACTGCCTTGGAAACCTAAGGAGGGGTTACTATGAGTTAGGTCCGACTCGATGGCACATAACAACAATAAGAACACTTTGGAATGTTCTCAGCATAGAAATTCATGATTTGACTACCATTTTAACAGAATCACCCCGGGCGGCTGTGTGACGTTAGGTCATAAGTGGCAAGAGTAGAGGCAAGAAGACAGCTAAAAAGCTACAGTACAGGGAATAGTAGACTGTCCCAGAGTGCAAATAGTTAAGGAACTGAGGATCTAAAGAATTCTAAGGATGATTTCTGAAATGTTCCACATTAATCTTTCCTTTTCAACACACGTAAAGGGATATTATCTTTGTCTTAAGTGGATTCTCCATGGAAGACTCTAAAATGGAGACCTACATACAGGAAATGTATTAAAGAGTGCTTTTAAGAACAAGTTACGGAGTAGAGATGTGAAGGCAGCAGAATTGGGCATAAAGGAAAAAATGAGCTACAGGTCAAGTACAAAGAATGATTACCCACAGAGAACTCAGAGCATGGATGGCCCTTTTGAGTTGCCAACTTTGAGGCAAAGGATGTGGGCAGGTCTTTATTCCACAAGGACTGTTTGTGGATGTGGACTCCTATTCCCCACACACACACCACGGTTTGTAACTTTGTTCCCAACTGAGGGCAATTCTAGGTCAGAGAAGCTGACAGCCCTCACTACCACACTCCCTTTGGAAAAAAAAAAAAAAAAACTCATTGCTGTCAACTCCGTTCTGACTCATAGCCGACCCCTCCTTGGGTTTCTGAGGTGGTATCTCTATGGAAGGAGATTGCCCAGTCTTCCTTCCGAGGAGTGGCTGATGGGTTTGAACCACTAGCCTTCTGGTAAGCAGTCAAATGCCTTAGGCATTATGCCACCTGAGCTCCCTATAGATAAAATAATTTCTATAAGAGTATCTTGGTGGTGTACTACAGCATTCACTACAGTCTTCTACCACAAACTTATCTATTAATTATAAAGTTAAAAAAAGACATTTGTTCTAAAACTAAACTAATTGTTTTGGTCAAGGATTTAAATGAAATGAAAATCAGCTATTAATTGTAACCAAAAAAGACACAATGATAGAAAACTTTTCTAACTTTTCTAAGTTCATCAATATCAAGCATAATAAATGAAATCATCACTATACATGATATATAAATTGACTTTGCCTAAACTCTGAGTTAAAAGGCTGCATAGTTCCAGAGGATGGATCTCTGGTTAACAATTACTTGATTTTCATTCACTCTTTTAAGATTTTTTAATAATATTTTATTGCATTTTTGGTAAAAGTTTTACACAGCACTTTAGGTTGCCATTCAACAGTTTCTACAGAAGTTGTTCAGTGACATTGGTTACATTCTTCAAAAACATGAACATTCTCATTATTTCCATTCTCGTTGTTCTACTTCCATGAATCTAGTTTCCCTGCCCTTAAGTTCGCATCCTTGTTCTAAAGTAATTGTTGACCATTTGGTCTCATGTAGGTGAGTTTTTTTAAAGAGCATGTAGCATAGTACTTACAAGTGATACTCATTATTATCTGAGCCAATATGTTGTTTTGCTACAAAGTGACCTCAGGTCAGTTTCAGTTAAAAGTATGAAGAGTATCTGGAGGCTACTAGTCTTGGAGAGTCCTCCACTCTCAACCAGTCC